CGCGAGCATGATTTATGAAGTTCACCGATGCAATTGTTAGGCGGTGTCGTCTGGTTGCGTGTCGTCGGGCCACGAAGTCGTTTAATTTTACCGATTTTCCCTCCCATAACACGGGCCAACAATTTAATTCCACAGAGGGATTAACGAAAGTTAAGGGATGGCGCGGAGGAGGCGAGAGGAAAGGGAGAGGAGGGGAGAAGGGAGGCAGAGAAAAAAGGGAGACAGAGAGATCGACGCATTCCGTCGCGTACTTAATACCTCGATATAAGCCAATGTTAATAATGGCAAGGGAAGATATTTTCCACGGAAAAATAGTAATATCCTTTGAACGGGGTAAGGGTGCATTTCATTAACGGTTACTACCCACCGTGAAACGGGAGTTATCGGGATTAGAAGTATATTTCCATTCCCCTGCGGAATCGCGACCACCTCGTTTTCCCTCCTCTCGATATCGGGAAATTAATTATGAAGTTCGTGAGCCGATCTCACGTAATACACCGTATGCGCGTGTATGTTTTCTGCCGATGGACACGATTTAATATATTTAACAGTCCGCGAAATCGGTGGACTGGCTCGATTCGCCCGTTGCACGTACGTTATATACGTTTAACGATAAACCATTGAGCCGTGCACGGCTTTTGTATCCACGGATTTTTGCGAAATCATATTAACCTTTGCTCGCAATAATAGTCATTCCACGCGCCTATTTGATCGTTTTATCGAAAATCATCCGACGGTTAAGGAGATTCTAAAAAATTTTTAACGAGTTTTAAGTGATAAAATAATTGAAATCTTTGCACGAAGAATTGCCAGTGAATGGAATTTTGTCGAGAGAGTTTTCTATTCGCGGATACTCTCTTCTATGAAAATGAATTTTATAAAATATGAATGTAACACGTATAACACCGTGATAATTAATCCTTTAATAGTTTAATGGCCTTGAAAGATCGTTATTACAGGATGGAACTACATGTGTATGCAGCTGATACATTAAAACACATATTGTGAAAGTTAAATGAGATAAAGTATAATTAATCCTTTACATAACAATTAGTCGAACTGATAGAAAGAATATTTTATAATCCGTGTCTTCGTTACTTTTTGCAATTGAATTTTTCAAATTAAAATTTAAATGTTTCATATTAAAATATAACAACGATTAATTAATTATATATTAATATATATATAATAGAAATAAATGTGCGTTACAAACTTTTAACAAATAATTATTCTTTAACGAATGATTATTTTTGAGCCATATGTAACTAAAAAGTTGAAGAATTAATTGAAATTACATTCAACTCAAGTATAAGGCGTAGAGATTTGTTTAATACCGTTATGCGACAAAGGGAAGAACAATTCTTTCGTTTCGCTTACAGCTGACTCGCCGCCAGAGGCGGACACGTCCGTGAGTCATTGTCAGAGCGCAAAAAAAAAGTGACAAGGTATACTCACACAGACAGACGTGGAGTTTCAGTACGTCTCCCCAGAGTTGTGCACATCGACCTGCGGTCCACCGTCGATTTCGCACACACGTTCTCGGGACTCTGGATTCCGTCCCGTACGAGTGAAGTCGAACGGTTGAGCGAGCCTTGATCAACTGGCACACGCACCTTTCATCCGGAACGCACTGTACGGCGAAACGAAGCCAACCAGATTTCGAATCACTGGCCAGCCACGTGACTAGCCATGGGGAACAGCCGGAATTTGCGCGAGACACGAGCCCCACTCGTTCGTGTAGTACATCGGTCCGCAAGCGAGCTAGCGTGTAGACTGGCTTCGAAAAGAATCGAAACAGTGGTTCGTGCACGAACTTCGTGTCAGAGATAGACAGACGGTCGGTCGAACGGAAAAAGTTAAGCACGTACTTTGCCGCGGTGAGAGAAACTAACAACAAAAGACACGGGAGAAGCAAAGTGGATGGCTAGAGTAGGACGGACAGACAGAGAACAAAGATAGATAGATAGAGAAAAAGAGAAAGACAGGAAGACAGAGACAGAAAGAGAAAGAGAAGGAAAAAGAGAGGACGAAAGACCGCGGTTTCTCCCTGAGATTTCGAGCTGCACTGCAAACGGGAACAGTCAGTCCTCACTGAATCGGAGTTTGCCTACGTACTCGCGGCTGAGAGACTTCGGGATCTGCGCAGTTGCTCGCTCACCACCACCATTTCCACCACCACCATACCACACCACACCACTACCACCACCACCACCACCACCACCACCACCACCACCGTCGCCGCC